GGCGGAACGCGAGCGCGGAGGGAGCTCCCCCACAGCTGGCTGCTCTGCGCTGCAGGGGCCCGGCCCCGCTTTGCAGCAGGACAAGCCAGGAAGGGGCCCAGGGCCCAGCCACTTACCCCCTTGGTTCACAGTTGCTGTCCAGTTGGAGCCGGAGCCGTGCACCAGGTCGGCCTGGAAGGGAGAGGTGTTCGGGGGCAGGTCCGGGTCCACGATCGCCAACTGCTGGGCCACCGGGTTCCGACCGCAGATTTCAAACTCCCGCGGCTCTGGCACCGGCCCGTTGTCATTCACGTCCTCCAGCGTCAAGAGCAGGGTCCCCGTGCCCGTGGCCGAGGGCTGCCCTAAGGGAGAACGGCTCAGTGCAGGGGTCTGGGCACGGCACTGTGCCCGGGAGAACCCTGCTGCTCAGGTGGGCCGGAGGCTGGGCTCACCCGGCCTTCCACGGGGCCCAGCTGTAGTGAGCGTTGCCACAGCTCTCTAGCCCGTCTGCCTGTAAGCAGAGGGAGGCCACGTGGGTCCTTAGCCTCCACGTCCTGGCCACGCCCCACCTGTTCCCCGTGGACCCTGGACTATTCTACGGGGCAGCCAGGGGCTCTTCCGTGGCTCCCCAAGCTGGGCAGCAGCGATCTCTCCCCTCGGAGGAGCGGCAGGGCGGGGGAGGAAGGCGCGAGTACGCCCAAGGCGAGGTTTTAACTAGCCGCGGGAGGCCGGTGCTGCAGCCGGAGGGTGGGGAGCTCGCCCTGCCTTCCAACCGGCCGCACAGGCAGCTTGCTGGGACGGAGACCAGGGCCAGAACAAGGGGACGCCGTGTGTCCTTACCGGAGTCCACCGCCAGGACAATGGCCTTGTAGGTGCTGTTGGAGACCAAGCTGCCCTCCCTGTCCAGAGGGAGGATTGCCGTGATGATGCCGTTTTCGGGGTTGATGGCCAGCCACCCGGCAGGGTCGCTCCCCATGCTGTACCTGGAGGGGAAGGCGGGCGGGCGTGAGAAGGGGGGGCCGGAGGGGCCAGGCGGGGGGGCCCTGCTCTGTGCCCGCAGGGCATGAATGTGCCAGTTTGAGAGTTTAAGGGGGAAATGGAGCAAACGGCCACGC